CAAAGACAAATTCTTACAATTGCTTTTTCTTCTCAGATCTAGTCAGTGTAATATACGAAGACGCCAAAAAAAAAGCTGGTGAAAAGTGCGTATTTCTGACTTCAAAAACAATATAAAATTATTAAAGATGTGTATATCAGCAATTAGTAACCCATGTGTTTAAGAACATTATTTATTTGTTTTTATAAAGAACCTTATCTTTAAACAAATTAAAAATACATTGAAAAGTCTCTATATATACACACAATACACGTTCAAACTTCATTTCACTGCGATGCCATGGTTCAAGCAGAAAAACATAGCTCTTTTTCACAAACCCAGTTGCATTACAACCATCTTCTTCAGTACAGCAAACTGTGCTGCCAGGTCCTTTCAAGAATACTTCATTTGTTATTTATCACCTGAACTGTTTTTCGGCCATAGTGGTAATAGCTATATGCAGATGTTACCGTTGTGAAAGCTGTGATGCACCTTTGAAGAAAACAGCTCCTGTAAGCCATCTGAGTTCAAGCATGGCAGTAAACATTAACACTTGTTTGAGAGAAGACAACAAATCTGCTTCTGTATTTGTAGCCTCCATAATTGTTACTGGCACGAGAACTGACTGATGTGAGAAACTATCCCTTTGCAGCACAAAAGGGGATTGTTAAAAAAAATACACAAGACTTGAACTTATTTTAAGAAGTTCCACAGCTAAAGCACAAGTGTTGGCTTCAGCCTCTTTTGGTCTTTTCCCAGACGTTAGGTAATAACCATAATTTATTTCCAAATTAGCAGTGCTTCTCTGTGTCAAAGGCTGACACCATTCAGGTGTGAGTCAGTAACAGCCCTCTGCCAACACACTGCCAGGCTCATCTGTACTATTTTTAGAGTACACTCACACAGTACCCCGCTAAGTCACACCTAGCACTCCTTCACTACTAACAACACAGTAACTCTCACAAAGTCCCAGAGAATAGCAAGGTGCATCTTTCACAGATGCAGTTCCAGGTTTAGCTTTCCAACAGGGAGAAAAACACATTTGACTGTTAAGATAAAGGTTCCTTATTCCTTAAAAAGCTTTACTGTCTTTTTTTTTTTTTTTTAAAGACAAGTAATACTGGATCTTCAACTACTTTAAACTCAGTTACTACGTAATTCTGCTACTGCAGTTCAGTCTCTTGCTTGAGAACTCCTACCTACCACCTTAGGAGAAATAGTGCCACTTGTAACACCTGCTGTCAGCCACAATTAGCTGTTCAGGTCTCCAGTGACACCCAAGGTGGGGATTTAAAGTGCACTCCAGTAGGCCTGTTTTCACTTAATGCCTCTCCTTCCTTCCCTTAGTTTAGGAGGAATTGCTGATGTTCAAAAAGGCTTCAGAAATCTAAATTTCTGAAGTAGGTACAGTCTAAAGCAGAGTAAGAAAATACTTTGTGTCTATAATTACTGATATCAAGATGTTTTTTCAGGGGCGCTTATGGCATGAATATAAGAAACCTTTACAGCCTCACTTCCCACTCCCCCTCCTTTGATACTAATCTGAAGACACACTTTGCACTTGTGTACACCATGGCTTTTCTAAAGTCTTCCTTCTTCACTGCATTTCCTGGATCTTAATGAGTCTCACACAAATTGAGTAACAATAAACATACAGTTGCTACATCAGTTAAGAATAAACATGTAAAAATTCAGCCACTGGGGTCTGAGATCATTTGAGCATCGCCTTTTTGTCTCCCACAACTAGGCTAATTTCAATTACTCACTTCCTAAGAAGCACATTAAATTATCTTAAATAACCAAATTAAAGATGAAGAGATAGGTTACCATAATGTCTGTAGATACACGCTGTCCACATAATTGAAAACAGGAGCTGCTAAAGAAGCCGCCACCAAAATCAGCTGAACCGCTGTATTCATCTGGTAAAAGCAAAACAAGAAGCACGGCCAAAATGAAGTGTATTACACTAGGAATGCCAATATATGGTTCTGTTACTTGTTTAAATATTAGTCTTTGTACTACTAAAAAAAAATTAGAAAAAATATTTTAAAGCTTCTTTTAATGAAACATCTTATACGCTTAAAACCAGCCTATGTCCTGATTGGTTTTCATGGTGAAAACCTTTCAGGATTTCAGCTGCCTCCAAATCAGCTGGCACTATCTCAAAGTTGTTCCCAGTAGTATGAAACAGCCTCTTCCCTCCAAACTACACGCTGCCCCAACTAAGGAGAAATTTTATAATATGTTACTACTCTTACCTTGCTAATGAAGGTTGGTTTTAGTTGGGCTGTAGCGTAACAGGGATTAAAATACCTACTGAGTGTTCTCTGTTGAGAGAGGAAAGGGAAAAATAAATGCAGTCCTAGCATATTCAGTTTGATATACATCCTCACATGATACACAACAAAAAAACAATTACAGTACAAGAGAATTACACTGCTAATGCTCTCAGATGAACTATTAGCCATCGTACAGAGGCAGGAGAAAATGTTACCAGTAGCTCTGGCTCATCTTACTCAAACTTATTCTACAAAACACTGTTCTGCTCACAAACCCGGCACAACAATAAGCACTGGGCTATCCACCCAAGACCAGAGGAAAATCTCATGGTTACAACTTGTTACATGCTTATTCTTTATATATACAAGTAATAGCATATAAAAAGATTCAGTCATACTAAAAAAAGATGACAGGTTCACAACATTTTGTTTGATCTTACACACTCACCGGTGGAGAAAGAGTTTTGTATCGCACGTAAAAAACAGCAGCAATGAGCGCTACATCTCTCAGAATGATCATGGAAGTAAGTGAAACTGAAAAACCAAGCCAACAGGATCTAGTGAAAAACCACGTCCAAGATTAAGAAGAAAACATGACAAAAAAGACAACAAAACATGAAACAAGAAATCAGCACTGCCAACTTCTAAAACAGTTTTAGGCACAACCGAAGATGTTTAACATGGCTTCTGAAAGGGTTTCATCCGAAGGCTTCAACCAGCCTAAGAAACCTTATGTGTTTGGATGTAACAGCTGGCTTTGAAGCAATTACACTTGAAAGCAGCAGCAAGTAAGCAGAAAGTAGCATTTTGTCTGGGCTGGAGGGAGCTGGGTTTTGTTTGAGTATTTAACAGCAACAAATAGCAGAGCACAACTGGCAAGCTGCTAAGAGCTAAACATGGTTTTCCTTCCAGAAATAGAAGAAATATTAACTTACACTAGATTAACTTTTAATGCAGCGCATACAAGCAATGACATTTTCTCACCTGGGATAAGATTGGTACAAGTTAGGCTCACATAGAGCACGCTGATGAGAATTTTATCAGCCAGTGGATCAAGAGCACTTCCCAATGCTGATTTCTGATTAGCCCAATTGCGCGCAATAAACCCATCCAACTAGAAAGAACAACATTCAGGAATATTGTGTTAAAAAGCAAAGAATAAAAACAGGTGTCGTATGCTGCTGTTACAGTGAGGTTTCATGAACATCATGCAACCCAGCTGCGTATCTACGAGGAAGCCTGTTAGCAGATCCTTGTCTCATCTTTCCCACCCCACCCCCATTGCATTCTAGATTCTGGAGGTCTTTAAACACGTTCAATGCTCATTATTTAAAACAAACAAACAAAAACCCACAAACAAACAAACAATTGCTACAACTGACGTTTGAAAAGGCACATCTGAAATTCACCAAGCATTGCTCTGGCGGGTGCACAGTGCACACCTGCCAACACCAGCACACCTCCAATACACGAGCATAGCAGCAACGCCCACTTGGGGACGGTCAGCATCACATCCCCACAAGGGATGTAGGATGCTCTAAAGCAACAACTGTAACATGATAAACCTCATCTCCTCCCACAGAGTATAATTTCCATGCAAGACAGGTTCTAAACTCCAACGAACGTCGATGAGAACACAGCAACCCACACCGTATACCCCCAAAGTATTTCCAAACTCACGTCAACGTACCAAATCCGTTACGCCAGCCAAAACAAAGACACCTAGTGCAACATTGAAATTTTCTTCAACAATCAAATAGCCTAAAACCGGCGCCAAACCCATCCTTGCCATTGACAGTATATTTGGGATCGTCCACGGGTTTTCATACTGCAAAGCAAGAAAGCAAACACTTCAGGCCGGGAAGGCGGACCCCGGCGTCAATCGGCGCACGGCAGGCAGAGAGCCGCGCCCGCCCGGGAAGCGCCCCGCCGTCGGAGCAGGGCGGGCACGACGTGGCAGCCGGCCGCCCGCCTCGGCCCGCGCTTCGGCGCCAGGAGAGCACGCCGCGCGCCGCCGGCTCCACCTGTTGCGGCAGGCCGCGGGTCCGCACTACAATGCGGCCGCTCCGGCCCGCGGCTCGCTACGGCGGCCGGTCGGCGGGACGGGACGGCCCGGAGCACCGAAAGCGGCCCCGACCTCACGCGGCCGCCGCGCTCGGCGCCCCCCTCATGCCCCCCACCCCGGCCCCGCTCCCGCGTACCGGCTCGGCGTAGCGCCCGGCCACGCTCCGCTCCCGGGGTGGCTCCGGAGGCGCGGCCCCGCCGCTCCCCGCCCGCCGCGGCCCGGCCCCGCCGCCGAGGGGGCTCCAGAGGGGCGCGCGCAGCAGCCGCCGGGGCTCGCGCAGGGCGAGGGCGGCGCGCGCCCCCCCGGCCAGGCAGAACGCGCCGCCGTTGCCGTGGCGACGGCCCCCCGCCTCGGCCCGGCCGGACGGAGGCCCGGCCCCGCCGCACGGCCGCCTCCGCCCCGCGCCGCGGAGCGGCCCCCAGAACCCCCTGCCCAGCCAAGCGGCGGCCAGCATGCTGCGAGGCGCCCGCCCGCCGCCCCCTACGCGCTCTGCGGCCCCGCCCGCCGGAGCGAGCGACCGCCCGCCGCCGCCGCCATCCGCCTCCCCGACAGAGCGACGGGGGCTCGGGGACGGGGGACGGGCCGCGGGCTGCGCCCGTGCGGCGCGAGGGGGGGCGGGACGACGCTTTGCGACGCTTTACGGCGGCGCGCCGCGCGCTTTACGGCAGGCTCCCGGCCGGGCTCGACGCTCCCCCCAGGCGCAGAGCGGCCGACCCCGGGCCGCCGCTACCTGCCGCCGCGGCCGCATGGCGCTCCTCGCTGCTCCCCGCAGGACGGGAGCTGCGCGACTTGGGGAGGGGGAAACGACCACCTGGGGCAAAATTCTTAGCTCACAGGTTCTTTCACGAGTCCTTGAAGGAACAAGTGGATGGTTTGCTTTGCCGTAAGGCTTCTCAGAGAGCAAACAGACTCTCGTACTTGGCTTCTCGCTCCTCTCAATCGTGTTTGCTTTGGCTCGAGGAAGGGCAAGAGCTGACCTCTCCAGTTGCATAACTGACTCGTTCTTAGCCTCTGCCCCGGACATTCGGTGCTGTTAAGCAGATACAAGTTTGCGCTCCAGTTCCTGGCAGTGCTGCAGACTCCGGTCAAGGTCTGACCTCCGTGTTCCATCCACTGACTACAGACAGCAGTCAGTAACTGGCAAAAGAAAGGAGAAAAAGAAACCAAACCAACAAAAAACACCATTCATGTCTGTGTTTGGTAACTCTACCTCTCCCCCACTGTGAAAGGCGGTTAAAAAGGAATAGGTGAATTCTGTGTGACCTCAAGAATTTACTGCTTCTCTTGGCACACCACGTAGAGGTGGTAGCCTCTATTTGTTTGCATGAAGATGGGAGTGAAAGAACATCACCACCTCCAGGCAAAAAGCACGTTATGAAGTGTGCAGAGAACGCAAAAAGGGGAGGAGTGGAAACACACTGAGGGAATCCAGCAGGTTGGGGCCAGGAGCTGCCAGAAACCTCATCACATTCAATGAGGGAAAGGGTAAAGTCCTGCAACTGGGGAGGAGGAATGGCCCCAGGTAGGAGCACATGGGGGCACCAGCCAGGAAGTACCTCTGCAGTGAAGGAACTCCACAAAGCAGGGGGAGGTGAGGCAGAACCCCACTTGTGAAATTCCAGTGCTGTGTTTTATTTATCTCTTACACAACGCTGCCCTAGGTCAGACTGTCCAAGGCTGGGATGGAGAGAGGGGAAGGAAGAAAAAAAAAAAAATCACTTAATGGAAAAGGTGAAAGACTGAAGGTAATATTCTTATAGTTTATACAGCTTATCATTTAGAATTAAAAAGAGAAAAAAACAATTCTATCATTTTAAAAATCTTTATGCAAAGCTTCTCATCTGCTATGTTACTGCATTAGGGCATGCTCAATTTCATAAAATCAGACAGCCTTCTGTGGCAGAACAATTAAAAGAAGACATACACAGTATGTAACATGAACATGTTCTGTAACAGCTATTAACACCCACACAAGTGTTCACTATTAATATTATTTCCATATATCATATTTAATGAGAAATAAAAAGACAATTTCCATTTTACACATTAAGCATTGTAATGAGGAGACTTTCATAAATTAGACTTGCACTTCACATAAAATCTATCAGGAAGACCAATAAATAAAGAGTTGCAAATCAAAAAACGAAATCCTTCCAGCTATAAAGCTGCAGAGGCTCAACGTGAAAGTTCCCAAATTTTTAGAAACATACCTATACTTTAAATACCTCAAATGAACTGCAGTGCTAAAAGCACAACTCGCACTGTCTTCTCACGAAAGATTTCAGTTTTAAAATTTGTGAGTCCAATAATCACTTCAAATTTAGAACTGAAATTTGTTGTTATGATCATTTGGGCTAGCAGCCTTGCAGGATGAGTCAAGCAGCAGGACCACAGAGCAGCCTGTCTTACATTAGCTTCTAGCAAGCCTGCTGGCATTACCAATTGAACAAGAACTTCCAGTAAACAACGGGGGCAGAGGTGCTCCTGGGACAGGCTGCAAGTCAGGGCACTTTACTGCTGCATGTTCATCAGTCCATTCCAGATACAGTAATTATGTCTCAAAGTTTATTGCAGCAGCTCTTCTCACATAGTCTGAAGCTGGTAAAGTCTTGAGCCTTTTTTCAAGAGATAACCCTGATCGTTCAGGGATTCAATAAAGCTCTCAAAATCAAATACCTGCAGTTGGAGGAAAGGGGGAGAGAAAAACATAAATGCTAAACTGGAAAAAATAAATTCCATCTGATAAAAAGCAACACAAATGACTTAAAAGAATTGTAGTATTTGTGCATTACTTAGTGAATTGGATTGAGCTAGAACTGAGTTAGTTTCCTTCACAAAGCAATGGCCTACAAGCAGGTAACACACCATCAGTTACACCCTTTGGTGTTTTGCTTGTACATCATTCACAAACGCACACAAAGTATGCAGAGTAGCATACATATAAAACCAAGTTCTGAAACACAAATACTGAAGAAAAGTCTATTTTCTACAGCTCTCATTGATTTCCAAGTATTTGTAATGTATCTTTTGCCCATTCAATATTCTGTATTAAATATATGAAAGCAAAATTAGAATTCACCTAGCTACAAGTAACTAGTTGGTGAATAAATGAATGGCCTTGTGAGAAGAGAGAGGGCAACAACATACTCTGCCAGATGTGATTCACATCAAATCTAGTCTTGCTTATAGTCAGCATTTGGACAAGTTTGGAGACAGAAGTCATCTGGTCCCAGCAGGACGGGGTGTGTTAACCAAGTAGCAGGAAGAACAGCAATACTGCCCACATTAAGTTCCATATAAAGAAATTAATTGTCTCCACTTTCTGTCTTAAACCTGAAATCCAGTTTCAAGTTTTACATTGGAATTTAAAGCTTTTCACTATTAAGCAAAAAGGTAAATTAACTGTTAACATTTTTGTTTGGCAACCCTGCCCACCTCTCAAGTACAGCATGTGAACTGTTACAGGATAAAACACATTTGTGGCCATGTGTCTCACATGATGTTCCCACTATGTTATAGAGTGAGGAAGCTCAAAGCAGGAATGAAAACCCAAAAGGCTGCGCAGGCCACTGAAGGCCAAGCAGAAAGCTCACTGCACAGATAAAGCAGACACCACAACAGCCTAAATAAATACAATAAGTAATTCTGACTGCTTTTATAGTTATTAAAGAAATGTCTGATTTCCAAACTTACTCGTATTTGTAGCTCTTTTGCAACCTGTCGAAGCTGTTGCAAATCAAAGAGATTGTTGTAAGTTCTTTCTGCAATACTGTTAAGGGCCGAAACAAATCTTTTTGCTTGTGACCGATTGCTCATCCCAGACCCATGCTGTGAACGTTCGAAGTCCAGTTTTCCAAACTCATCCGAGTAGGTTCCCAGCATGCTAAAATAAAAATATCAGAAGAAATGGGATGTAAAAGTAAAAATGCGTGAACTTCCTTCCTGAAACATCAATCCTTGAGTTTTCAGAAGACAGATAGTGACTTTTTCCTAGGGAATGGTTTCCAATCAAGGAAACATAGAAAAAGCATCTGTCCAAATCACTTTTGAACTTAATTTGTTCAACAGCAACAACAGAGAGTGATCACACTAGAGGAAAATCTTTGGCAGCGTCTAAATTACTGTGGACTGATATTAATAACTGCTGCAATGACACAACTCAAAGGTCTAAGTGGTAGTATTCAACTGAGGGCTGCTGTCAGTTTTTAAACAGGAATTAAAAACTCTCAATGTTGATTTGGGGGCCTAAGTTTGCTAAAGTCATTTCTTCACCGTGTCTGCATGTCTGTTTTAGAAAGTGAATGAATAGCAACACAGTGCTTTATTTTAAAAGCACTGTATATTACCTGTATTTCATTATTTCTATTACATCCTCAGCATCTTCCTTGGTACACTTCTCCCTTAATTCCAGCCTTGCTCGTGCCTTAAAACAAAGTATATCAGAAAGGTATATTTAGATATTACACCTGATGAGAGAAAAACCTACAGCCCTGCCCTACATAATGCTACAATAAGCACAATTTCTAGGAGCATGAAAACAGAATCTGAGCCTAGAGAATATAGATGACAAGTCCTCTATTTTGACAGCATTTCAACATCATCTGTTTCATACGCATGATATCAAGATGTAGGTTGCAGTTTTTAACAGCTTATTCTCAGGAAATTGTACATCACAAATAATGTTATTAAGATACAGTGTTAGATAAGACAGTAACAATTCAAGATGGGCAGCAGTTTGTCCTTGTCAGCACCTTTCTCGCCTTTTAGGAGATAGATAGGTTTTACTTCTAGCTCCCTAAGGATGTTTTATTTCATTAGAGGCTTTGAGCAATAGTAGCTCTTAAAGCATTTCTAAGACTCTTACCATCTTAAACAAACAAACAAACAAACAAACAAAAAAACCTAAAACAGAAAAAAAACACACACATTGATTGTTTTCAATCCTTCAAGTATTAAAGCTTGAATTTACCTCTGTAAGTCGAATCAGTGACTCCAGCTGCCTCGTGGTGATTGGTGTGCTGCTTGCTCCCTGGTTCTGTTTCCGAAGCTCCAAGTAGAACTCCTGAAGGACCTGAGCAGCTTCTGGAGATAAATGTGGGTGAACGTACTGCCGAGCATAACCCACGTACTTCCTCAGCAGCTGATGTGGAATGGCATCAAAGTTTTCTCCTGGTGAGATCTAATCCAATTACAAACAAGGACCTTAGATTTCTGATCTTCCATCGCAACCTTACAGAACACAACTCAGTTTTTAAACAAACTTTTCATCTCCTATGCTTTATGGGGTGACATCTTTCTGAAGCTCTGAACATGTACTGGAAAGGCTTTGATTCTACATACATAAGCTGTATTCTTTTAAAGTCAATGCACCACATTTAGACATGTTATTAAACACACCTGGTCGGCTTACACAAAGCAGAAGTTTGTAATCTGCACTCCTTAGTGTCAAATACAAATTAACATTATCAAGAATTCTTTTTCAAAAAGAGAAAATCCAATTTCCTACTTGTTACAAGACACATCACTACAGAAGGTTAAGCTATCACTCCTGACATCTCATTTTGAAGAGTGCAAGGGGCAGCAGTTTGTTTTTCCAAAAACTGTGCATCTGCAGCATCAGCACTTCTGACCACAGAAGTTTAATAAAAAAATAGTTTTCCTCCTATAATCCTCAGTCTTCCTCGGTTTGCAAACATCCAAGTGTTTGCTTTCACACTGCTTTACTTGCATTCAGTATTTCAAAGCATATCATGTTATAAAAAAAATACTATACCAGTCTAGTTCTGTAGCTCTCTACTCAAATCAGCAAGTTTGGTTTAGAGCATTTTCATGCAAAATACCTTCCCATTACCCACAGTAAAAAATAATAATAAAGCAACCCAGCTAATAAATTCTCTTCTGTATGAATTGACACAATTTTAGCAACTCCACATAGATGATATTTACAACAGATAAATTGTAGAAACCAGAGATTTCAATACTTTTTATTTAATTCAGAGCCAATTCTCATGAGAAGAATGGGAGACTGAAGAAATCTAGCAAGTCAGGGCTGCCAGGCTCACGGCAAAGAACAACACAGGAACAGAGACAGCAAAAGGCACAGGAACAGACACAGCACGAGGCTACCTTCAGTCTTTCAAGCAGAGGCCGATCTGACACAGCTTCAAGAACAGAGCAATCCTGTACGTTGGCACGGCTCACAGCCGCGCTGCTGCAGGCTGCCTGCTTCCCAGCTCGGATTGCCATCACGTGCTCCGACAGCAAATGGTCATGATCTTCATTTGGGGTGTCCAGCAAAATAAAAACTAAGTCAAATCTTGACAGTAAAGCACTCCCCATTCTACAGTAAAAACAAGAATACAATGCTTGTATAAAAGTAGCAAGACTACAGCAACTCTGTTCTACATCAAAGACAGAGAATCCCGTCCATTTCATTCAAAATAAAACGGAACAGCAATTTGTCTCCCAAGAAGCATGAAAAATTACTTGTGCTCAAACTCCAGAAAACTAGAAATCAATTTTATACAAGACTGGCAGAAGCTCCTGCTCCAGAATGCAAACCATACAAGCAGCATTTCAGGAAGTGCTTACTTTAAATTCTCAGACACTGTTTTGGCTTTGTTATAATGCCCTCCAACTGGGTTTGCTGCAGCAACAATAGATGTTCTGGCTGGCAAACTGCAAACAATACCAGCCTTGGCAAGGCTGATACTTTGCTGTTCCATGGCTTCCAGCAAAGCCTGATGCTGGCTTCCCATCTTATCAAATTCATCTATTCCACAAATACCTGAAACAATTAGCACAGGACAAAGATTTATTAGAAAATGCATTAACTGATGGACAAGTGTATGCTACAATCCCACACAGTGTCAGAAACCCAACTTAAGTTCTAGGTACTGCAGGAGACGTTGGACCAAGCTGTCCTTTCAACAACGTCCATTTCCATTTCATGTTGCTGCAGCTGGCCTGGCTTGCAGAACCAGTGTCTCAGTTTCTCATTGAGATGACACAAAAAGCTTTTTTTAAAAAAAAAAAAAGAAAAGAAATAGATGGCAAAACTCATAAGCAAGCTATTTTTCAAAAGCAGTAAGCATCTAGTACCTGACATTAAGCCAGATTTCTCAAAAAGGGAATCTTATATCTCTGACACATTAAATAAGAGTGGTATGTGAATTCAGAGCAGTGTTTTACACATAACTAAGGCCCTAGGAAAGCAGGAATCACTACTGGTGAAGCTCAGAACTTCCCAGATCCAGAATGACAGTAAGTTTATGCTTTAAACTTACATTTTCAACCCAGCCACACAAGCTGTGTTGTCTTAGACTCAGCAGCACCTCACCCCATCCTGTTTGTTCTTATTAAGCATGTAACATTACCTTGATCTCCAAGCACTAAAGCACCAGCTTCCAAGGCAAAATCTCCAGAAGCACCATCTCTAGACAGCGTAACAGTCAGGCCAGAGCTGGTGGAAGTATTACCACAAACATACACACCTCGAGGAGCAACATTACACACTGCCTAGAAGAGAAGGAAAGACTTTTTTCTCTCCCCATGGTAAACAATTTCATAAGCTTTATTCTAGAGAAAAAGTACAAAGCAAAACAAATCTGTTTCTTTCCATTTAACATGGCCCAACAGTCAAGTTAGAACTCCTTTCAAACCCAAGAAACCTATTTCTATAAAACATTAGGAATAACTACTGGCACATTACTGGCAGAGTCCCATCTACTGTGTTATTAAAAGCGCTAGGACCTGGGGCATAACACTTATATTTCAAAGCACATCAAAATGCTTGGTAACTTCCCATCCAAACATCACCAAATTGCAGATATATAGTTTCTGTATCTTCATATCCCAAAGCCAATTCAGACTAACATCTTGTGGAAGTGCTTAGCACCTCTTCTGAGTGTTTCAGAAGAGGCATGCAGAGTTTACCCCACAGCTAAGAGATGAAAGACAGTACTAGTCTTCTCTATGCCCCTAGTATCCAGAAAACTGCTTGTAATTTGAACAGACTGACAAAACACAGACATGTTGCAGTTAAATTTCTCTAGAATACAGTTACCATCACTGGATTTTCCTAGTAAATCTCTATAGTTAGTGGTGCCTATCCTTTAATTAAAAGATAACACCCAAAGTATATTTGCTCAGTGCCAGATAAGATAGGCACTGACTACAGAGTTGAACAAACAAATAAAAAAAAGCAAAACAACAAAACTCACCAAAGACTGGCTCCTACACAGCTTTGTTTTCCTCTTTGTCATTTTTTTCTCCCAGAGACAGTGATGATTAAGAGGAGCCTTGTCTCAGGGTCTTATCAGAGACTAAGAGCTCATTTTGAATAGCATTTTATTATTTAGGAATGACATTGAGAAAATAAACATTTTTCTGATGCCAGAATTTCCTGACTCGGTGAAAAAAAAATTAAATTGTTTAAGAGGAAGAAATTCCACTAGCAGCCGGCTCTGCCACACTCATACAAAAATGCCCACCACTCCTACAAAAGTAGCAGCAGGTTCCTTTTCCAAAGGACAAAAATCTGGACCAGTAACATAGGAATAGTGTAAGAGAATGGAAATACACCTTGCTGACAGTGAGTGACACGATCGTTCTAAAAAAGCACTTATTCTGTTTGACAGTAGGTCAACTAAAAGAAGATAGGAAGGAGAAAAACATCTCACCAGGGAGGAAGGTTCTCTGGAAAGAGAGGACAGCTGGAAACCCGTTTGGGTACTATGCTGTACCTGAAGCCTTATCATTCTACAAGCTAGGTAAGGCAGCAAGGAATTGAAGAAAAATACAATTATACAGTAGTAACAAATAAACCCATACTTGCAACATTTGACTTTTTCCTAATCCTGGATCTCCAACAATCAGAACATGCGGATCTCCTCGCACCGGGATTCTGTTCTTGTCATCGACAAACTTCTGACATCCTCCAAACAAGGCCAGGGCCAAACCTGCCTTTACAATCTGAAGTGGTACATATGAACACCAGTAAGTATTCAGTCCTGCTGATCAGCACTGACGACTCCCCAGACCTGTTTGTAAGAACTCTTTCCCTCTGAATGAAAAAACTTAAATCCCATAAGAAAGTTCCAAGGGCATAAAGCTGCCTTGTCAGTTCACATACAGGAACACTGAAGTCACAAATACAGCCCCTGCCCCTTCCCTGCACCTCCAATAAACGTCATACATCCTGCAGGAGTTGAATGTGGCACAAACATTTCAAACTGCATGAAGCTGCAAGCAGAGCTGATACATTGCGTACCTCATGGCCGTAGATTGCAGGACAAAGAGAGCTGAAAGACAAAGCATACTATGACCCAGGAGGAATACAGATCTCACCTTAATGTTAATCAATCACTTGTTCTGTTTCTTTGTCCCAGAATACTTTTATAAGCACGTTCATTTTTTGCTTAGTTGTTGAACTGTTAGAGTGAGTTTAAATTTAAAAAAACAGCATTGAATTTCTCCAAATTTTCAGATAACCAGATATACTTGAAACAATAAGATAAACCTTTCATTTGAGTCTGCACAAATGCACAGAGCCAGTTTCCCCGTGGTTACTGCACCCATCCTGATCTTTATCAAATAACAGTGTATAACTCTCTTCTGAAGGTGCTGCAGTTTTCTGTCTTCGACTCCACTGGGAGGAGCTGAGGGATGGTTGAGTTGGACAGGTACCTTCCTATCTGAGCTGAGGGTTTTTAGAGAACCTTCTAATCAGTTCTCTCATCTCTCTCCTCTGCTGTGGAAAAGCAGAGCAGACAACAAAACAGTGCTCGTGAGTTAAAATTAGCTACTGAAATGAATGAATTGCTTTATTTAGCTGTGGCTTTCTGTCTCAGAGTTGACCTGAAACACTCTGAACTTTCATGTATTCCAAAGTTCTAAAATCCTCAGCTTCCATTTGCATTCCCTACTGCAATACATCCTCTGGAGCCCTTTGCCCACTATGGTGTGTTAAATCTGTACAGCATGTATTGTCCAGGCCCTAGACATCTCATATCTTTAAGATCAGCTGCCACATAGGACCAAATTTGGTCATGCCTAACCTAGCTCTGACACAACTTACTTCACAATAATCCTGAAGAGATTTTCCTCAGCTTGAATTTCTTGAACAGCATAGAGGTCCTTAAGTGAAAACTCCATGAATGATCGTTGAAAAGTCTCCTCCTCAAAATTCTTTGTTTTTTGTCCTTTACTGTTGCTGACAGAATTTGCTTCAATGTACAACAAGAACACACACTTGTCATTCTTATTTTTAGACACTCCTGTTAGAAAGATTGACAGACAATTAAGAAATAATTTTTACATCTGAAGTACCAACGTTACTTAAAAATGGCACAAGGTAATTCAAAAATTTAAGGTACAGGTATGTGCAAAATACAGGCTGTTCATATTTTAAATAGTTCAACACCTACATCTTCAAAAATTGATGTACACTGACTTACAGCTTCTAGTTACATTTGTTCATTAAGTTCCATGTTTTTAGGTACACATGTACCTTAGCAATTAAACATTTTCTATATCCTCAAGAGAATGATTACTGAGCAGTGAATGCAGGCACACAGCAAATCACTACTGAAATTCTCTGCAATATATTCATTCTATTACAGCTATGCACAGCATAGTTTTTCACTTGGGGGAAAAAAAATTTCTCCAGGGAGGACTAAATTGAGAAAGATAATATGCCTTCACAATAGTGTGATGGTTTTCATGTCCTCTGAAGAGACACCAAGGGCAAAAGGTTAAGCAAAAAAAAAGAATCTTAATGAGACTTGCAGAAATAAGGATGTCCTCCTCATATTATTAGTTCAGGGAAGGCTTTCCTACCAGCTGACATACTACGAAGCACTTTGTGTCAGCACTGCCACTTCAGCATTACACACAGACCAGTGAGTTGCAGAAGACAAAGCCCAACTACCAGTAGACATTAGAGAGAGTGTTCCTCTCAAGCAGCAAAGCACACTGCTTGTTCAAAATGAAGCCTCGTTGTGAAATTCTGGGAACTTTTGAAGAGATATACAGTTCATTCTTGTACAACTTTGCAAGCTCAAATGAAAGGGGAAGGCTGTTTATCTCATATAATCAATAGAAAAGCCCCCCACACAAAAAGAAGTCTTCCAGGATACATCTCTTACCTTCCTCGGTGCTGGACACCTTAACTACCCCTGTAATTGTGACCACATCTCCTGGGACACAACTGTCCACAAGGTCTTGAACCAGCTCACATTCAATCGTGCGAGGGATTCGGCCTGCTTCTCGCTGATCATCTGACATGAGCTCCTGAACCCTGCAACACACAAACCCATACAACACCAACTCCATGCATAATGTTCCCAATTCAATTACAGCATACAAACTCCACAGACACGAACTTCAAACCAGTCCTTTCTGAACTGAGAAGGGAGGCATGAGAAATGTCCTGATCAGTACTAAGAACACCAGTGCTGAATTTGGAGAAAAGCATTTTTCAATTCAGACTTTAACAAATGGAAATATACTATACATAAAACCCAAAAAGACAATAACAATGAACTCCTGAAATAATAGCTAGCACCAGTGAGCATGTTAGCATAGAAATAAGTACAGCATGTGAAATAAGATAGACTTCATGTACAAAGTGAGGATGTCAGACATGACAGCCCCAATGAATGCACAATTGGCTTCTTAACCTTAGCAAAGCCCAAGAATTTCCTCAGACCACAGCACGACCAGTAGCTCACTTTGTGTAGCTGTAGAGGGCTGGGCAAGAAACAGCTCTCCTGGATGTGTGTTACAGAACAAGTCAGTGATGGTGACAGTACAGCAAGAGTGAGGAAAGGAAGAAAAGAAATCCACATTAACAATGTTAGTTTCTGTAGAAATGGAAACTGTAACATGTTCTCCCCAGCAAAGTTCTGACATCTTTAGGTATACTTGCTGATTAGACATAAAAAACAGATGAATGGGCAGGCCCAGCACTACTGCTTTCTACAGGGTATGCCTGAGGTATTGGAGACATAATCAATATCATTTTAAACATAGATTTTTAGCCCTTAAGTTTACATTTTGCTCATTCAACTTTCACAACTGATGGATGTAATTTAACAGGGTATTCCTAACTGACCTCCGGATCATTAAAAGGAATTATTAAACCATAGATGCAACTAACAACAATTGAAGAAAGATGCAGAGAGCATGAACTTAACATTTCTCAATAATACTGGGATCAGCACTATTAAACATATTTGTCTGTGATATGGACAGTGGGATCACATGTAACCCCAGTGACCACACCAAGCTAAGTCAGGCAGTCAACAATTGGAAGGAAGGGATGGCATCCAAAGGGACCTGGACAGGCTGGAGAGGTGGGCTGTGTGAACCTCATGGAGTCCAGTGAGGCTAAGTGCCAGCCAGCATGCCACGCCTGAGTTGGGGCAACTCCTAGCACAAGGCTGGAGAAGAGACTGAGAGCAGCCCTGCAGAGAAGAACTCAGGTGTTCTTGTGGACAAAAGCTGGATGTTAGCCAGCAGCATGCACTTGCAGCCTGCAAGGCCAACAGTATCCTGGGCTGCAGCAACAGAGGGGTGGCAGCAGGGACAGGGAGGACGTTATTACCCTCTGCTCCGCTCTCGTGAGGCCCCACCTGGAGGACTGCATCCAGCTGTGGAGCCCCCAGAAAAAGAAAGATATGGAGCTATTGAAGCAGGTCCAGAGGGGGGCCACAAAAATGCTCAGAGGGCTGGAGCATCTCTCCTATGAAGACAGGCTGAAGGAGTTGGGCTTATTCAGCCTGGAGAAGAGAAGGCTCTGGGGAGATCACACCGCAGCCTTCCACTACCCGAAGAAGCCTGTAGAAAAGCTGGGGAGGGACTCCAGCAGGAAGCAGAGTGAAGGGACAGGAGGTAAGGGCTTTAAACTGAAAGAGCATAGAGAGATAAAAGTTACACAGTATAAAATAGAGTGAGCCTCTTTGTCACTGCTGGACTGCCCTGTTGTATTACATTTTTGTGCAGAAGGGAAAGAAGCTTACTTAACAGACTGCCAGTCCACTGTGGTAGTCAAAGGAGAGCTCCTGTCAGGGGTGAATGACCGGCCACGGCACTCAGGAACAAGGCACTGTAACAGTATTAATTCTAATTCATTCTCAAATCTTTTTAATAATAGTTTTTAAATGTCTTTTTTTTTTCTTCCCCAAAAAGAAAGAAAGTAAAACAATGAGATTTACTAACGCAATTTCAGGAGAAAAAATCCAAGTCAAATTAGGGTTATAAATTAACATATACCTCGATAATAAAGAGTTATCAAGCACAGCCAGCTGATCCCTGATTCAGCTGTTGGAAAAAATACACACAATTGGTACAATCCCCTTATTTTGGCAGGAGATTCTACAAACTGCTTTGTCTCACCAGAATACATTTTTTTCCAAATAACAACGTTGTGCAGTAATGCAAAGTTGGATGGTAGGTTTAATTTTTTCTAATGTGTTCACTGTTTAATCTAGCTTTAAACATCTGAACTACTCCCCCTTACACCCACCTATTTTAAATACTACCAGTGCTGTTATTTTTCAAAGCCCTACAAATATGCAAAAGGGAAAAATATAAAGTTAGGTGATTTTAACTTACCTTAGTTGGAAGAGTATACTTTCCATCAGGCAGAGGAACACTCTGAACATCTCCACATGTGCCACATACAAAGGCTAGCTTAGTGCACAGAGGCTTAATGTTACTGACACGTACAACAGTGCCACGCAAGGCAATGTATTTCCCATAACAGTTGGCCCGAACATTTTTCAGCTGAGTTAGTGGTTCATAGTTGTACAGTCTACAAAAGATGTTAAGCAAGAGCAATTTGAAAGCTTACCACACTTAACTGATGAACCAAAAATGCTGCAGCCAAGCAAAAAGAAGAGGCATACATGCTAACTACCAACAGTAATCTTGAGCAATGACTAGAATGATTTGGTCTGTGAACGCATGACATATTGTCCAACTCCTGTTCTTGATAGCAGTACATTTAATATTCTCCAGTTGTATATACCTTATCAGCTATATGTTTTGCTTATATGGTGATACATCTCTCCTGGAAATGACTAGGACTGAAATAAACAGAAAATATTTCAGAGTCACATATAAGCAGGTTTAGGTCCTGGTTTTCTTTGCCTTGCTCCTTCTTCTTAGGATCCTGAATTCCACCAACCCACTGCTCCACCCTACCTGTGTTGCAGAAATATTTTGGGAGTATCATATATTGATTGACTTATGAATACTCTCTTCTGCAGAATCACAGTCCATAATTGCCCCACAGGATTTGAAATACTGTATATACGTTTTCTGGTCACAGGTTTTCCTAAACACCTTCTACTGTCTAATTAAAAGGATGCAGGTTTATAATCACTTCCTAATAAAGGCAAGCCTTTTACTACCAAAAGCCTTGATCCTTTTGAATATTTTCCTATTTCCTTCAATAAAGGGCAAATATGTAAATATATTTCTCTTTTTTTTAATAAGCATGTTTTACCTAATACTTTATTTATAAGCTGTTTCTTCACTTTTATAAAGTCAGTTGTAGGGGTTGTAAGGGTCTTTCTGCTTTTGCTTTTTCCTTCACAAGGACAGTTTAGCTTTTGTCATCGTGAAGACAAAAAGAGACTGTTTTGGAAATAGCTTCACACAGTGAAGTCTCTCAGCAAAACAAGTACGCCTTGAGCACCATGCATAGACACTGATGATCCTTACAAGAGAGGCTAAGAGAAGCTCCTGCAAACAGAACAAATACCCAACACCCACTACCTGGCATGAATGAGAGGAACATTTATTATAGGCTGTCCATCCAGTGGTAACCCTTCCTTCACCTGCAGCTCTGCAGCATGCCTTTCAAGGTCCTTGGTTAGCACCTATACAGAACAGAAGAGCAAACACGAATGTAGTACGTCATACAACATGGATTCAGTTGGCTGTTCTTTGACTGCTATCCGTCACATTAGGGAAGACTAGAGAGCTCTCTACTGTTCAGTGACTCCTGATACAGTGTTTTCCTGTTTCTTCCCAGTTCTAAGCTTCATTCTAAAAGGAATTTAAAATTATGACATTTATTAAGTTTTCTCAGTTAAAAAAAAACATATAATAACCTTTAATCCCGGTCAATGTGTGGAGAGTTGTTTGACAAAAATGTCTGAGAATTCGCCTTTTAACAACCAGTGAAATACTACAGGAGATACTGAATGGAGCCAGGAATTCCTGCACCCGCTCCCCCAGCCAGGAGTGGCTCCACTGCATGAGCTGGGACAAAATGCCCAGGCAACCCACAATACATTGATAAAACAGGAATTAGACGTGCCTATTATGTATCTATTAAAATTCCACTTAGTTTTCGTCAACTGCTTTGATGACAAATATACAAAATGCAATAAAACCAAAGCATTTTCAGAACAGGATTTTGTGGGTCATACAGAAAGGATACAGAAATGGAGGTTGTTGAGTTTTTGAATAAACAGCAGATTTCCATAATAGAGAAAAGCACAGAAATATGTTATTTTTAAAAATACCATAATTGCCTTTAAATTTGATTGACTATTTAATCATGACAGTTATGTTCACATCTATTAGAACTTCAAGTTTACCTGATGAATTGCCAGACCCATGCATTGCAATATTTTCTGAGGCATATCCCGTAACTCAGTAGATACATCTGGTACTGACTTAGTCAATTCTCTATCTTCTATCAGTTCCTTATAATCCACAAGGATGCTTCCCTTTCTTTCTATTTCATCCTGTCAAATATTTCAAGTCAGAAAATACACTTAAAATGGTAAGCACCACACAAATAAAATGTCATAAAACATTTCACAGCTGTGGTGGAGATCATCTTTGAAAGAAAAAGCACATAAAAAAATATATTGATGCAGTAGCATATAATTAGAGAGGTACATACATAAACAAAGAAATAAATATTTACTTACCTTATCATAAAGTTCAATGCGTTGCATAAAAAATTTTTCAAAGGCTTGTGTCTTCTGGACAAAAGGTGACTTGTCAGCATAAGCTAACCACAAACACACAGCATTAGTAACTGACAGAAACAATTGTTTCCACTTCACTAAATACATAAACAGGCAGTTTCTCTTTCATTCTATTTCTGCATTCCATAACAGAGAAAGATGGCTCTCTACAGTACGACAGTAATGTTGTTACAAGGTCTCTGACAAAAGAGAACCGTGTCTATGCTGACAAAGGTCAAGCAGGTAAGAGAAAAGCACAGCAGAGGTGCCCATGTGCCAGCATTCCAGACTGCATGCTTCATGTAGCTAACCAAACACGTTTCCATCACATTTATCAATAGACTATATCTTATACTATTCAAAATTCCTTTCCAAGGTTCAGAACCCACAGATATTACAGTATGTTATAAGACTGATCTTTATTGCATTCATCTTCTCGCATAACAAACATGAATTTCAGTTGCTTTCTATTCATCTTATCCCCTCTATGTGTAACTAGACCCAGAGAAAAGCGATCAGGATATCTGCTAGACTTAACTTTGGCCTAAAAGTACCTTCAGAGAAATAAAGCTTCCAGCCCTTATATGGAATAAACTGGTCCAAAGTTGACTGAACGAGTCGAGAACTTGCTGAAAGAGATTGAGATTAAAACGAGGTGGGTATGACAGCTTCACAGACCTCAGCAGTCTCAGTGCACCAGGAGACAAGAAACTGCCGCTGTCCAGTGACAAGCAGGCTACGAGGCAGGAAGGAGGAGCTGGCTCACCAGGCTCAGGCTGTCTCTTCCACTCCACCTTCCGCTCCCTTCCCCGCCAGCCTCCTCGCCAGCCTCCCCGCCAGCCTCCTCGCCAGCCCTGGAAGCCCCGTCCCCGGGAACACCCCCTGCCCCTGAGGTCCCTGCTCATCTCAGCCTCGGCGCCTGACGAAGCAGAGTAGATAAAAACGCATCAGGAACAAAGTTAACAGAAATCGCTGAGGCCGAAGCCCCGAAGAAGCCGCTAGAGTCTGTAGGCGCGGGGCTGCCCTCACGCCCCGCTGCAGGCGGGAAACCGCTTCCTGAGCGGCGCCGGCGCACTGCCACCGGAAGCAGAGCGGGGGAACTTCCGGCGAGAGCACACGCTTCCGGCGGGAGCACACCGGCGGTCATGGAGGCTGAGCGGAGGTTGAGCCTGCGAATTCGTGAGGGGGACTGCGCCGTGCTGAAGCGGGGTGACGTCTTCAAAGCCGTGCCCGTGCTGCGGCAGAGGTGAGGGGTCGGTGGGCGGTTTTCCATTTTCTTTTGCGATCTTTCTGCAGCCTCCCGCGGTCGTCCCGCCGTGGGACCCTTCGCTAAAACCCTGGGAGGTGTCAGTCCTGTCCCGCCTCCTGCGGCTGAAAGCAGCGAGGGTTTAGTTGCGTTTTTTTACAGAGACGTCACGAATTTGAAAGATAGCTGAGGTGTCGTTGTCAAAGTGATGTCAAGTGAAGAGCTGAGAAAGAGCAGCAGGTTGGAGATGCCGTCGCCGTGCTTCCCTTGCTGTGCGCGGTGCGTTCTGCAAGGGGCAGTGTTGTTTTTGTAGCAGGGCGGGGAGCAGCTTCAGTGGGACAGTGCTGCTCTGAGAGTCTGCTTCCCTTTTCTAGGCCTGCTGGTATAGCAGGGAGCTCCTGTAACCCAGCAGGAAATACTGTAATCAAGGGACAGCCCTTCCAGTGCTCTTCCCGGTGCAGCAGATGAGTTTGTAGACCACTGTGTAGAAGTGAGCGTTGGTGTTCTGGCCTTTTGATTTAGTGGAGACTGAAAGGTGTTGTACGTGAGCAAGGCCTAGGAAGTGAAGCTGGGAGTGCTGGTTATTGAGAGGCTTTATGCTGAGCAGAAGAATCAGGTGCCAGAGGGGTTCTTCAGTTAACGCTTTAGCTGTTCAGATGGTGGTTACTCTGTTGCCTGCAGAGCATTGCCAGGACATCGCTGTCAGATCCCTTTTTGCAAATCTCAGTGCACAGCTTTAGTTTTGTTTAAGCATCCATCATAAAAGAAAGAATAAAGTAAAAGAGTAAATATTGCTATAGGGAATGAAATAACTTCTGTGTTAATTCGTTATTTTCTGTAATCTAATGAGAGTAAGGGTAGGCTGAGAACAGTATCTGTATCTATATGCAGTATCTGTGGTTGGATGCTTTGTTTCTCATGTCGAAAATGGTGCTGTGCAATTTAAGTTCTATATCCCTATGTTTTACTTCGCATTTCAGAGTTCTTTTTAACTGAAAGCACCCTGTTCATGCTGTACGCTGAATTTCAGTTTTTCATTCTTTTCCTAACCAGTTTCAGCATAATGTGGTGTTGTGGTTAATAGTAGGTAGTATTTCATTCTTTATGGTTGTCCTGATTTGCTTCAAAGGTGTGGCTAAAACAGGTGTATATCAAGTTGACTTCCAGCTGTTGGGGGGTTTTCAAATCCTGTCACTTGTCCTTTCAGACATGGTTAAAACGATGCCTTAAATGTCATTAACTTTTTTATTATTTCAGAAAAATTATTTTTGAGAAGCAGGGCTTCTATCTGGATAATGCCATTGGACATGTGTATGGAACTACATTTGAAGTAACAAGTGATGGAAACCTGCAGCCAAAGCGACAGGTGGAAGAGACTACCACAGGTATTACAGAGGATTGATTGATGCGTGGGGGAAAAAAGCACTAACAAGTTATTCTTTGATAAGACCAAAGATGATGGAAAAGCTTTCTATTAATTTTTCATTAAATGATGTTACTTCTTTCTGTCATAAAAGTGCATGTTTTTTAACTTGGTCTACTGTTCCAGTTGTCCTGTAACAAATACACTTCTTAATATGGGAGAAAATTTGAACCTTAATTTGGGTGAATATATAGAGAAAGATGTATCTTACATGTTAATTGCTTACAAGATACTTGGCAAGAGCACAAAGCATGTGGGTTAAACGCGGAGAGATCTGCTTTCTGTGAAACTTAAAATCATGTTTCTCCAACTGAAAAGTACTTAGAGCTAGCTTTTACAAATCTATATCCTTTTCTCTTAGAAACAAAAGAAGCAGGGACAGATAATCGTAACATAGTTGACGATGGAAAGTCTCAAAAACTGACTCATGATGACATAAAGGCTTTGAAGGACAAGGGTATTAAAGGACAGGTAAAAAATAAGGTTTTGGTGTCATTTCTGTGCTACCTTGACGGTTATCTTTCAGTTTACGGAACAGGCTGTTCTTTTTAATGGCGCATAGACTTGAGTGCTTTTTCTTTGTTCTTCTGCTCAAGATCTGTTTTTACAAAAATGTAAAAGCTGTTTTCAGAGAAAACTTCATGTAAGGTCGATAACTTTATCAGTAGAAAGTCAAGTATGAATTTTTACCGTATTAAGAATCACAACAGACGTATAAAGGAATACAATAGATGTAAGATAAATATAAACCACAAAGGAAATATAATTCACACAATCACTTTTTCTGTTTGTTTCTTAAAAAATTCAAAATATTACTTTTGTATTACAGATATATTTAAAATTGTCCAATAATAAAACTATCAAAGATGTAGCGAGGGATTATGGACGAACGCATACTCATTAACTAGTGACACTATGTAACTAGCATACTATCAGTGTGCCTCTAGGCTGCTGCCTACCAAACAGTGATGCATGTGTTTTGTCAGCAACTCAAAAGCTAAGAATATTCCCAAGAGATCAGCTCTTCTAGAAAAGGTGTTGGTTTATACCCCACACTTAATCCACAAAAAGTGAGGCCTTCTTAAATGTTATGCAGCACATTCTGTTCTGCAGATGTTGTCAGCCAAAATTCTCTCTCATCTTTGGTTTATCCTTTTTCATAAAAGATAAGAAATTGCTCATGCTTACATCAAGTTCATCTCGTCTTTGCACTTTGCTGTTTGTTGCTGCTGTTCGAAACAGCTGTTCTGCTTTTGTCAGCTTAATAATGGATGAATCTGAGGAGTTTAGAATGGTATTTCCTCTGTTTCCATGGTTGTGCTTCTCTTGGTGTTCTCTCTTTGATAAGAATGTACTAATGAGTCTGATAGCTTTGACATTTTCTGTTAGTTCTCATTAGCTGTGTGGCAGAAGGTCACTGTCTTTTCTTTATGTCCTCTGCATGTCTGTGCTGTTCATGTACCGTACTGATAATATAGGTTATTAAAATAGTCTACTTTGTGAACTGTGGTTTCTCAATATTCATTTTAGACTGCTATATTAGCAGCAATAGATACTATCCTTCCATGAACGTCTGGTAAAATTTGAATTTTTGTATGTGAATGGCGTGTCTTTGTCATCACCATAGAATCGCAGAATGGACTGGGTTGGAGGGCACCTTATAGCCCACCCAGCCCAATCCCCAGCCATGGGCAGGGCTGTCCCGTCCTTCAACCCCCCCTCTCTCCCAGCTCAGGCTGCCCAGGGCCTCATCCAACCTGGCCTGGAGTACCTTTAGGGATGGGGCACCACAGCTTCTCTGGGTAGCTGTGCCAGGGCCTCACCACCCTGAATGAAGAGTTCCTTCCTTCTAACCTACATCTTCCCTTTTTAAATTTAAAGCCATTCTCTTTTGTCCCATCACTATTAGGCTGTGTAAAAAGTCAATGCCCAGGCTTTGTGATGCAGGCTTAGTTTGAGAGATGGTTGCTCTGTGAAATAAAGCTTTCATTTTTCCCATCACCTTCCCAAATTCCTCCCATATTCTGAGGGATAGGTGCGTGGTATTAGGCTGTAGTAATTCTGGGGTACTGCAAAGTGCTGCAGCTTGCCTTTAGCTTGTTATGTTTACCCTACAGGAATATTATCTGGTTTCCTCGCTAAATTTTACTGGGGAAAAAAAAGTAGATATCGTGTTTAACTTCTTCCAAGAATAAGGCAAAATATGCACTGATTCACTCTTTTAATAACACATCTTTAGCTTTCAAAGGCTTGAAAAAGTAGCAAGTGAAAACTACTCGCACCACTGTATTTTGGACTAAGTTCTCAAAGCACAGTGGGAGCTTTCAGCTGTCCACACTGAAAATACTCCTTGTGTCATTTCCTACCACCAGCCTCTCCAAACTCCTATTAGGCCAGACTACACCGTTGCTCTTCATTCATGTTTAATAGGAACATAGAATTCTGTCAGTCCAACTACTTTGATCACAGCAACCAGAACAGCATTGTGCAGCATTTATTATTATCTTGCAGCATGAAGACAAATCTGAACAATGAAAGCTTTTTTTTTTTTTTCTGTTGGAGGTTTTAATGATCACTCCAGCTGGAATCTGAAAGCATGAGAAATGAGAGTTGGATTGGCAAAGGGAAGAAATAAGAACAAGACCTGGAAACAAAAACTGGAAATCTGGGAAAATGTGGAAGGTAGAGGAGGAAGAAGTACTAGGACTCCTAGTAGGAAAAAGCAAATACTAAAGAGTTTGATGTTCTGCAAGGAGCTGGTACAGGAGTCTAGCACAATTTGAAAGACAGAAGTAATTAAGTGGGGTAAGGGAGGTGCCTGATAAATAGCCAGAATAGAGAGGAAAAACTAAAGTGGTCTAGACAAAAGAAGTATATATATATGCAAAAGATATCCTCAGAGATAGAAATGCTGAAGTCAGAGACCCAGAGAAGGAGTTAGATTCAAGTAAATACTGCTTATGACATCATGTTCCTTCTTTTGTTCAAAGATGTAGTAACTATTTTACATGGCTGTATCCAATGGTGAAAGTTAAACTGAGAACCTAGACTATAAGTTAACTGTTCCATAATAACTGCCAATAGACATAACTGCCCCATTCTAAATACAGTGTGACTAAAAACAGCTGATCACCTATAGAGAGCAGGGTAGTCCCCTTCATATTCAGCATGAGATAAAAATATGTAGGTACTGAGGCTTCACAGTTAAAGCTGAATTAGTGACTGGCTGATGAGTAGAATTTTATTTTGCCATTACTGTCAGTAGACCTTTTTCTTCCAATAGAGGAATGTATGTAATATTTTTTGTGCTTGTTAGGAAAAAAAAACAAAAAAACAAAAACACCCACTAAATATAAAATGAACGAGAAATACATACCAGCTGTAATAAATGAATATAAATTGTCTCTTCTAAGGAAATTGTTCAACAGTTAATAGAGAACAGTACGACATTCCGAGACAAAACAGAATTTGCTCAAGATAAATACATAAAGAAGAAGAAAAAAAAGTAAGTGAATTTTAAAATGTGGAAAATATTTAATAGTTCCTGAATTTATTGTGCTTGAAATAAGGCTATTGCTGTGTACTTCTTACAGATATGAGGCAGTTATTACAATTGTAAAACCATCCACTCGCATTCTTTCAACAATGTATTATGCAAGGGAACCTGGCAAAATTATGTAAGTTTTTATTTTCATTCTCTTCTTGAATGATAACAAATATATGGATATTTTGAAAAAATATTTTAATATTATTGTATATAATACTCTTTTTCTTGTTAATGGAAGAACTGTAAATTAATGAAAAGTAATGTGATATAGAAAATGAATCAATATGCTCCTGTAGTGAAGAAAAAAATTCTTCTGCATGCAGCATCAGCTTTTACCACTTCCTACCACCTCTGTTTTGCTAATTACCTTTCTAGCAGTGGCTCTCTGCATGTCTAAAAGTCTCTTACTTCTTACCTTTTTATTTTATCTAAGGCTTCTCAAACATCTTTCCTTCTCCTTCCCCAGCTTCCTCTGTTTGGCCTCTATTGAGCTATATGTCTGCTTCTAAGAGAACAGATTTGATATTTCTTGAAACCCTTTGTTTTCTAGCCATTTGCGTTATGACACTCTAGCTCAGATGCTTACTTTAGGAAATGTCCGTGCTGGCAACAAGATGGTCGTAATGGAAACATGTGCAGGCCTTGTGCTGGGGGCTGTGATGGAGCGAATGGGAGGTAAGTCATACAGTAACAGAGGGCGAGGGCTAATTTGAAACTTAAGAAATACTCTTGGGTTTGATACTTTTAAAAGGAACTACTTCAAAATATTTTTTTCACTTTTGTAGGCTATGGATCTATTATCCAGATGTATCCGGGAGGTGGTCCCGTTAGGGCTGCCACCAGTTGTTTTGGATTTCCAAAACCTTTTTTCAATAATCTTCATGAATTTCCTCTCAGCAAAGTGAATAGTCTTCTCTGTGGGACATTGTCTGTGGAGACTCTGCCTTCAGAATCTGAAGACACTGCATTAACAGAGGAAGAAATGAATGGACTGGTTGATGAGAAGCAAAGTTCTGTACAGGGAACAGAAGAGGAATCTTCTGCTGAAACAGCTATGGAGATCAACCAAACAGAAGAGCAGGAAACAATTGACATTAATGCTGAGGATGCAGAATTTAAAGAGAATAAAGAAAAAGAAAACAAAGAAAATGTAAGAATATTGCCTATGGCTATTTGAGTTTTATGATGTCAATACAGTGTTGCTGATTTTGGACATGCTAAAGTATAGCTTATTCAGGTGTTGAAATTGAGTTTTAAAACTTGCTTTATGTTGAGCTGTCTAAGGTGCATAAAACAAAAATTCAGTTCATGCAGTAGTGATCATGAGTTAAAGCACAAAATGCTTTATTGTTTGAAGGTTCGAGAAAAGCAAAGAAAACAATGGGAGAGAAGGAAAAAGCTAACAGAAACTGCTGCTTTGCTGAGAGAGAAGAATGCAGATGGGTGAGTCAGAAAGCTGTTTTGTTCAAAGTGCACCTAGAGAAAATCAATGCTTTTTGAAATGAATAAAAGCTTTGTTTTAAAAAAGTTAATTCTTAATATTCAGTAGCTAGCAGTCAAGCCAGACGTGTCTTGGGTCTCACTTGGTTCTCACCTGGTTTTAATTTTTTTCATCACTTAAAGAGTTTGAGATTTCCTGAGCTAATCAGGAAACCATCAGTTTTAGATATGAGTAAACATCTAAAAAATTTATGTTTAATGTAAACAGAATCCAGGTAGAATTTAACATTAAATGACTGCAGATAAAAAACAGGATTCTCTTCTGTAAAAATGAACTTGAGATGCTAAGCTTACTAAATTAGAACAGTATTTGTTTAAAAAAAAAAAAGAAACTAACTTGTTTTAAAACAACAACAGAAACCACTTACTTTCATTTTACCTGCATTAGCTGTGATTTTTTTTTTCCAACAAAGTATTTCACTGATGATTTTAATATCAGAAGCTTAGAAGAAAAAAATAAACACATTCCTATCAGTTCAGCCCCATGATAACATAAGAGCACTTTGAGGCTGTGACTTTCTCATCAAATGAGAAAGCAAATGCTGAGGTGACTTGATTTAATTAAGTAATACTGATTTATTTAGTAGCATTCATATTCATCTTTCCTTATAAGAATATAGTCAGAAAAGGATTCATATGCTGCAAAACAAAACAATTTTGACGTGGTGGCTCACTGGGAATAGACCTGTTTTTCTCAGAAAACCAATAAATGTGCATTTATTTTTATTTTTATTTTTATTACAAAATATTTTAAGTAATTCTCACTTGTATTTTAGTGCATTTCATCTAGCATGGTTAGGTGGTAGAATTCATCTGTTCTGTGAAAGTTCAGATACAGGTCATTCTGTGTTGTCTGAAGTAGTAAAACAAGGTTTGCAAAAAGCATTGCCTGTCTCCTTGCCATCAGCATCACCAGTGATGTCTGCAGACTACCACTTAACTGCCTGCATAGTGGCTGCCTTTTGCTGTGTTTTTACTGCTCTCTCCTGCACATCTTAAAATAATAAACATCAGTGCACAATTTGGCAAAGAAAAAAAGGGTTTGACTTTTCTTGATTCTTCCTACAGTGTAAAATAGAATCCAGTTGTTGATTTTGAGTTCAAGGAATCCTCATTAGTCTTTTGTCTCTTGTACAAGTGATTGAAAACAAATGAATGTTTCTTCTCTTGTTTGTTGGTAAAGCCAGAAGGGTGTAATAAATTACATATGTGAAGCGAGTACTTGCTCGAGGAAGTCTTGAGTATGGGGAAGGGAAAGCTTTGCCCCTCTTTGTAGTCATCTGCCTTGTATAGCTCTGCATTTGTTAAGATCAACAACCATGCAGTATGTACCGCTAATGCAGGAGAAATTGGCATGGAATAAAGCAAGTGCTTCAAACTAATGACTCAATTGGCATGGGAGTAAATAGCAGGTGAGGAAATCTACATTTTGTTTTGTTTTGCAAGAGAGAAATGGGGAAAAGATAACTAAAAGCTTCTTACATCACAGATAGGGAGAAAGGATAAGACATTGTCAGAGTAAGGGAAAACTAGTAATTAGGTAACGAGCTTTAGGAGATAACTTCTTGAGACCTTGACTTTAACAACGTTTACTACTTAATGTGGAAGATATAACTTTAAGATTTATGTTTCTTTTCTGCTGTTCCATGGTAAAAGAGTTCTTGTACTAGACCTATTTATCAGTTTCATTTGTGAGTTAAAGGCAGATGTATGTCTGAGGGGAAAGAAGGAAGGCATCTATTAGGGATGCAGTTTTTATCTTATAAAGAGTAGGCAGTGATGGATTGTCACTTTTTTTTTTTCTTATACTATAGAAGTGGAAATTGGATTATAGATGCTCCCTGTGTTCAGAATTAGAGCACACAGCCTTCTCTGTACCTTTTGTGTCTTTTTTCTGCCTATTCCTTCTTCTCTCTTGTGCACTACATTAATTTTGAGACTGAGCAGACTACCTGCTGACAGCAATGTGTGCTGCCATATGAAAGAACATAACTTGATTTCTCATGTTCCCCCTCATCTCTCTCCTACCTTCCTGTTGTCTGGCAGAGTTCCTTTCAGTGTCAGTACAGTACTCAGACCCTTCTGGAATATGGTTTAGAGTCTTATTTCCTCATGGTCCACTTGGCTAATTACTGAGCACAGACATTTTGCAGTCTGGATTTGAGGAAAACGTGGAGCCTGCACAAGATCTGTCCAACAGAAAACCAAAATGTAAACAACTGCAAAATAACTCTTTAATCTCTTATTTGTGTTTTAAAAAAAAATAGGCTTTAAGAAGCAGAAGACTAATGTGCATGAAATTTCTTTTACAGCTTGCTTGTAGCCAGCAAGTTTCATCCCACTCCTCTATTACTGTCTTTACTGGAGTTTGTTGCTCCTTCACGGCCTTTTGTTGTCTACTGCCAATATAAAGAGGTAAATGGAGCATGTTACTCTAGCTGTTATTACTGTAAGCTTGAGGTTATATTGCCATATAACCTGATTTTTCTTTTCTTAAGCCCTTATTAGAGTGTTACACAAAGCTGAGAGAAAGAGGTGGTGTTGTTAACCTAAAGCTATCTGAAACATGGCTACGAAGCTATCAGGTAAGGATTACGCTATTTGGGGAAATGAAATGTGTTTTGGATTGATTGAAATTATATGCAAGCTCATACATTTGTTTACATGACAGTAGCAAGAAAATACTTTGAAGCATTTTTATGCGAAAAGGCAATGTTTTTTGAATGGAAATACTTCATTTCTACTTCCAAAGCAATTCACTGAAATACTTGCAGAAATAGAAAGGCAGCATACTGAAAAAAGTTCATAATTGTGCTGCTTCAGGGGTTATAATAGCCAAGTGACAATCTAATGTCATATTTCTGCTATATTTCTTGTACACTGTATTTATTAATTTCTAGTTGGTTGGCTTAAAAAACTTCTATAACACAAGAATGGTAATGACCTCTAAAGTTGGTATCTTTATGTAACATGTTTCCTGGAACTAAAGGAGGAATTTTAGGTCTAGGAACATCTCCACAGTGAAAAATACTGGTTCGACTCTGTTTGAATAAGATGTATATAAACACAGAGCACCCTTCCCCACTATGAAGAGCAGAAGCACACCTCATCCATAAGCAGCTCACCCCCTCTTCAAGGTTCTTGCATTGTATTGGCTTGCTCCTCACCCATAGTCTTCTGGAGTCCATAAGGAATTATTTACTATACAGAGGCTGACTTAAGGCAAGGGATGCCATAGTTACTGGCTGTCAAGAATGATGGTGAGACAAATGGACGTTCACATGCCAGGCTTGGCAAGGCTTATTCTGCCCAGGTGCAGTACTTTGTGAATATTAGGAATCCTTAGCTAGGAACAACGCGGTGTCACCTCCTGAAAACAGATAAATCAGCTTAGAGCTGTGAGGGCAGTCAAAGGAAGAAGGAAGCAAAATAGGAGAGGACTTACAGAAAAGAATAACGGTGCTCAAAGTGTTAGTTCACTGCTGTGTCTTACAGTAGTAGTAGATACATAAAGATTGCTGGTATATTAGACCCATTGTGGTTTCTCACAAAGTATCTGAGTTCTGAACACTTTAACGAGACTTTCAGGTGTCTGAGCCTTGAATTTGTAATTCTGCTGGAAGTGCTATGAAGAAGTAGAACAGTAGGTGTTCCTGTAGGTGGTTTCTGGTATGCAAACGCTTTGCCCTTTCAAGGTAGATGCACTTTTCAAATACTGTGGCTGGAACAAATACTGTAAACTAAAATACACCATTTGATGTGCACATACAGCGTGACTCCTCACAGATGCTTGGTTTTTCAGCTTTTTTCTATGTTCTGTTTTAAAGGTCCTACCAGATCGAAGCCATCCAAAACTGACAATGAGCGGAGGCGGAGGGTACCTTCTATCTGGTATAACTGTTGTGCTGGATAAGGGCAAATCTGATTCCAGTAATTTAGAAGCACTGAAGATGGAAGAGCCGTCATCTAAAAGATGCAAAGTTCAAGACCTTTGTTGTTAACAGTGGGAGAATTGATTTGTCTTTCAGATCTCAGGAGATACGTGGTTAGTAAAATAATAGGTACAGTTTCTGTGCTCTTGACAACACAGAAATAGTACCTGTCATACATCAGTCAACGAAAAGCAGAAGAATTATGTGGTAGGAAGAACTGTTTCTCCTTACCAGTTTACATGGTCAGAATGAGAAGATAAACATTGGAAGCAAACCTGTGTCAGACATGACGCTGAAAGCACACTAATTTCAAAGAAAAGACCTGATGGTCAGGCTGAGAAGTTAACGTGGATATGAGTGCTTTCACTGATGCTTTGTCTTGTCTTGTTTGTTGCCAAAACTGGATAGGATTACATAGTTTTTAAAACATTGAATCTGAATTAACACATGTAATTTTTCTTCCGATTTTTCTAGAACAAAATCAGGGTAAAACGTTCTGTGTAGTGATCTGCTCCCTCTTCAGACACTGAGCCCTGCAGTGTTGAATAATCTAAGGAAGCAGCATAAGCAGCAAAAATTATTAATACAAAAAAGTATTTTTCTTTCCAAAGGAGCAATAAAAAGAGAACATTAATTCCAGAACTTTGTATAATGACTCAGTGTTTCCTGAAATAAATACAGGGGAAAGCATATGTTAGTAAATTAAATACCAAACACTTAACCAATATCTTTGTTAGTGTTACCTGTTATTTTCCTGGTAGTTGTTCTATGTTTAAGACGTGACCATTTTGAAAACTGCCATGTGTATATATATTTATTTTACAGTTCTATTCTTTATAATGTGTAGCTTTTTTTTTTTTTTTTTTTACTTTTGCATTTGCCATTGTAATTAAACTGTGGGATATTTTTGCTAATGAGATTTATTTTCTTATTTCTCAAAAGAGGGAAAATTACAGTCTAGTTAAGGTCTAGAAGAGGTTTTATGGAAAGAATACCCTTGGTACTAAACTCCTGATTGGGAGCCCTAGGTACATGTGGAAACTCAGAGCCAGCACGATTGGGCTTCCTTTCTTGAACTTCACTGCTTGATTGGAATTCGGAGCTTTGGGATCAAGTGATTAGACTTCATAAAGCTGTAAAATTCTCTATATTAATAAGAATGCTCTTTTAGGAAGCTATTAGTTCAAAATAAAAATGGGTTATATTTTGTGTAAAGCAGTTACAGTTTTCCTGAGTGAATAATTAGAGTGTACCTATCTTCAACCTTTTTTTTTTTTTTTTGAAACTTCCAATCTTTTTTCCCCTCTTTTCATTACTTGTATAGAAAAATTCAAGACTAGATTTCACCCTCTCTTCTATATCCTCACTCCTGTACATACATGATCTGTTGTACTTTGCCCTTATTACCTTTTAATGCAGTTTAAGTATTGTAAATCATACATATGGAATAGAAATCTGATTGATGTATGGCTTTTAGTAACTGTGATTTTTTTTTTTTAACTAACTTTTTTTCCAAGAATTTTGAGGGGAATAGGTTGGAAAAGTTCTCCTTTACAGCTGCATGTGCATGCTAAAGATGAATTGGGACTTTGAAGCCAACATCTGCTGTGTGATGAAATTGTGAGCCAGTCTATTTAAGGATTGAGCCTAAAAGCTAGTGAAAGGCAGGAAAATTATGAAGCGGCTGTAAGGCAGGAGGTAAACAAACACACAAAAAATTAAAAAACTGCTATCAAGCAGCCATAGGTACTCCCTCTGCCACCTGCACTGAGCTGGTATGGGGGTCACAGAACCACAATAGTTGCAAAGTAAGAGTTGGGGCTAAGCAGTACCTTATGTTTTAAATCCCACTTGTTAACATGTGTAACCTGACAAATCAATAACTTGAAGAAAATTCTGTTGGATGTTTTATTTGCATAATTTAAAAAAAAAATTTTTTTTTGAGGAAAAACAATTTAAATAGCTGGAAAGCTACTATAGATCAAAGACAAGCTGACTTCATTTCACATGCATTACCAGTATCAAATAACATCCTGCATTTTCAAAGTGTGCTGTCATGCTTGTAACACTGAAACACAGTATGAAACCAGGTATCAAGCACTTCATGTAAAATATTTCAAATTATTAATTTCACACTGATGAAACATATTCCTTATGTTACTACGGTACAGCCCATCTTGATGTAACCTTCCCAGTTCAGTTAAAACACTTACAATACCATCCTAAAAACTATAATGGGAAGAGAAAGGTTGAAATACAAGTAATGATTGACTGAAACTCCAGGAAGCCTTTTAAAAAGTAACAAAGTAAACAAAATTTGGAACAAATGAGAATGAGTGCATCCTGTAAAATCTTTAACAAATTAGGGGAAAAAAACATAGAACATTTCAAAGACAAAAGGAGAGGTAGAGAAAAAAGGAAGGTGACAGTTGAATACTTGTATGAGCAGTTTAGAAATGTAACTGTTGCTAGATTCAAGAGCTTCCATTTCTGGAGGTGCAGAACATAAACCTCAAATTTTAGTCAGTGACTTGTAAAGAATGAAGAAAGGTCAGGGATACTAAACCAAAAATGGCTTGCTTAAAGCAGCCCACCAAGTTCTGCAGAAAACATCCTTTTGATGAGGTAGAGAACTTGGCTTGCACAGACTGCCTGACAAGGGCAACTTCCATCACTCTGTCTTGTGTGCTCTACAAATATCCATTGCTGAGGTGCCAGATTATGTTCACTGCTATGTGTGTTAAGCAGAACCATCTTGGCTGTGGTTACATTCAGCTTAGCTAAACTGGGGCAGTTTGTTTTGGTGTCTGGAAATTAGGGGATTCTGTGTATCTGCCTGCATTTCTATCTCATAAAGTACTCACCTTAGCTGAACTCTGCACAATGAAAGCGACAAAGGAGAGCTAAGTGCTGTTTACACCTTTCAGCTTTCTTCCAGCAGTTGGAAGTGTCCAGTCTCAAAAAGCAACTGAAGTTCTCAAGCCTCAGCTTCTATAACACAAGAACATCTGACAGGGTCAGGACCTGGTGTGGTAAAGGTATCACTGCCACAAGACCAGGTAGCTGCTTCTACTTTTATCTTCAATCACAGAACTGCTTTCTTCATGTAAATTTGCTGAAAATATGAACAGATTGAAAGTAGTAATCACCAAGCTTTCCATTGCTGTGTTTTACTGGAAGTACACATCAAATTTACTATTTCCCACAGGCACACACACCAGGAACTGGAAACACTCAGAAGCCAAAGCCACTTAGTTCTGCTTCATTTGATATGGAACACGTTTCTGCATCTTACTAATACTTGTTTAAAGGTCTATCATTCAGCTTCAAAGCCCCAAACATACAACAGACCTTTTTAAAAATGCAAATTAATATAAATGGTATCAGAGGACTGTTTAAAAAAGTATTCTAGCATTACTCATTAAAGACTTGAAGAGGCAGTGCAGATGTGTAGATAAATATGAAACAGGCAGAAGTAGCCAGAACAGCTGTTTGACTCTCAGTGCTTGCAGTAGTGTCAGCCCCACAGAGTAACTTGAGCAGAACAGAGAAAGATGAGGGCTGTCAGACCTCTTGAAGCCTGCTAAATGACACCTGTTTTTAAAGCAACCTCTTTCACATCATAAGTTTTTAAGCAAAACATTGTTGATTCATGAATGTATGTTTGCATGAGTTGAGCTTTAAAAAAAATAATCATTCACAAGAATTACACGCTTGCACAACTTCAGAAAACTTTCTGTGTTACAACTAAAGTTATTTACTTCTAAGTATGCACAGACGTTCTCTTTTGCATGTGCAGGTCTGTTTTCTTTTGCACCAGCTCAGAAAAAAAAAAAAAAAGACCACTCTGCAAAATTTACTGTATCTACTGTACTGTAAATTTTTTAAGAGAGTCTTGGGCATTGAAAACAACAAAGTATTTCTGCAGCTGGGACAATTCTAACTTTCCTTACTGTTGTTGTTGGAAATGCATGGTGAAATCACTGTCCTACTGAAGTCAAACTATGAAGTCAAAACTCTACCACCTTCTCTAAGGTTGCAGTGTTCCTATACCTTAACCAAACAAAATGAAACATTTGAGAGCACTTACCAAAACCCCTAGGCACAGACATGCTCAGACAGTTCACAGATCAGCATCTCACTGAATATTTTCACTGCATGTTGCCTTATCATTAAATGGAGAGCATGGTTGTGTTTTAATGAGCAGGCTGATTAAATGGGTTAAGGTGGGAGGAGAGATACTGTGCATTTACTGATAATGTTGCTCAGCTGAATTCTTTGTATTGCACCTCTTGCATGTGGTGTTACACAAGCAACTGATGCAAAAGCATTGTCACAGCAGAAAGTCTGCAAAAAAAAAAAAAAAGCACATTTGGATGAGTTAAGTTAAATTGAACCCCAGATATCTAGAGTAATTAAAACTAATTATGGTATTGTTTCTTTTACTGCTTCATAATGACACGCGATTACCAAACTACTCCTTTCACACAGAATTTGTTATTCTGTACAGTTTATTACACAGAACATATCCTGCTCTCACTTTACTGCTACTGAGATACTCACATGGTGCAAAATTAGCACCACTCTAACACAGGCTCTGTAATGCTGTTACTGCTACCTGCTTCTACCACTATGGTGTTGCATATGTACTATGTGGTGTTGCAACCTTTTTGTTTCTTTAATGACTAATTTACAGAACTAAGTTAGTCACAGGACATTTCTGAATTACTACAGCAAATTTATCAGGATTCTTCCTTGCCTTCCATGCTCCTGCTAACTGGCAAATAAAAAGAATAGGCAGACTCCCTATAACTTCTAAAAATAATAGTGAAACACAAGTCAACATTCTGTACACAAGCTATTCACCTCATAGAGTTTAGACAGAAATAACCCAGTGAGTCAAATAAGCAGGGAGGAAGTTTGCTCCAAAATCAATGCTTTTTATTATTTCAAACTCAGACATATATTTCTGAAGAACACTAACACGATTATTTCCACAAGCAATATTAAAAATATCTGCCTTGCATGAAAGGTTATAATATTAAAATTCACGCTATTCAAATTTCAATAGCAAAATAGCAAATTAAAGACATTTCCAGCTTTATAAATCACTACACTATAGTGGACAGTAAATAGTATTTCTTGTTTTTAGGGCAAACAACAATCCAGTGGCAGTGAATTTACCACAAAATACAGGTATTGTGAGTACAGCTACACCTAGCTTTGAAACACCAAAGCAGATCATCTTCAGCCTCTCCTGTTGTCATTGAATGTCTCAGCTATTTTCTGCAGCTCCAAATCCATAGCAGCCAGGTTTTCCAGCTCTTTTGCCTGCGAAAGCAAAAAGAACATTTAACACATCAATTAATTAATTAATAATTAATATTAGCAAATGCTTTGTTGAAAACTAGAGACAAAGGTAGTTTCTCTGAGGATTATCTCCTGCTATGTACAGGTTCCTAGACAGGCTGTGGGGCAGGGAAGTGAGTGGTAGTCCAGCACATGCAATTTCATACTTTTAACTGATTTAGTGCTGGGGAGAGCATAAAAGTACTCATTCTGAGAGCTGGACTGAGCTACAATTTGATCTTTTCAGCTATAAAAAAACTTTATCTAGCTGCAACTTCCTGCTATCTCACAGCTGCCACTCCTAGAAGCATGAAGTCACATCTTCCTAGGTGAAAGTCCCTCAGTCCTTAGGAGATCACAACCTTATGCTCACAATGGTTCTGGCTTATGGCGCGCAGCAAGCATGGTGTGCAGTAGATGGAAATCTTCCAAAACGCCAGATTGTAAGGGAATAACAGTTATGCAGTCAGTTATTGTGATAACTTGTAAACATGGTTAAACTACAT